TTTAATGTTATATTTTATAAAAATCAATCAAATACAAGCAAAGTGTTAGCCAAGTTGTTAAACCTAAATAAAATAAATTATCGAATAAAATATGTTAAAGTTGAAGAATGATGTCGATCAACATTGATCTTAATATCCTCCAAAGATAACATTTAGAGAGAAAAGGAAAGTTCTTTTCATAAATTACCTAAATGATCAGTATCTTTATTATTCACTGAGTTAAAACGAAAGAAAACACTTTATTATATACGTACATTATATACCTAGTTTTTTTTAAATATTTTAGAACTGAAATTAAGATCTTATTGTGAATATAGTAAATAACTATTAAAAATTAAAATCGATCAAAATAATATTTGTAATATTCAATTCTAACCTTCAAAAGAAAAATATGTTAATGTTCATCGAAATAAAATGTAAAAATGATTTCATAATCCTAAATAGAAGTAGCAACAACATCGAATTATTAATCATTTTGAATAAAAAAAATATTTTGATCATAAGTTTGTTGATGTTAAAGAGCAAATTTTTTTTTCAAATAAAAATTCAATTATTCACATAAAATATCTATGAAATTTAGTAATTAGATTTTCCTTATCTAATAAAAGTTTTTTTAAAGTTTAAATAATTTAAGAATTGTTTCATGAATATATAAAGAAAGATATTTATTCTTTTTATTTTCTTACGAGGTATTAATATTAATGCACATTTAAAAAAACAGCAAGCCTGATAAGTACCTTCCGAAAGACTCAAGTTGTTTTTGACCATCAATGTTAACATAACCTTTCCTTTTTTTCTATTCTTTATCTCTATTTCAAGATATGCAATGCATGAGTTATTACTCAAATTGACGGCGAATGTATTGTTTTTATCCACCGTTTCATTCAATCATCGTTCGTTTGCTACAATGGCGAGTACACGACATTCAAGTTATTCTTACACATTCGAGATGAAAACACAGACGAATTGAACATGAAATGTTTAAAGACGACAAAGATATCGTGCACTCAAGATTCCATTGCTTGACAAACACCGGTCGTTATCATGCGCTGCGTATTATCATTCCGTTACGTCGACGTCGTCTTTTCTCGCGTCTTTCCGCCTTCATATATTATCTTTCTTCCATTTCTACTTCTTCTTGTTCTTCGTAACAGAAGAATAAAAATAATTTTCTAACTAACGGAGCTTTTGAGGGTGGCTCTAAAACAATTGAACCTTCTCAGGGATATCCGACGTTCTGTTGGTGACCCGTGCAGATGGTAGGCCTTCATAGCGTACATCAATGTATGTATGAATAGAAGCGTCCATTTCGTCATCGTCTTTTCGAAGATGATGATCGTGGTTGTACTATTCATACATACATCGATGTATGTTTGCCTAACCATTGCCGGCTTTGTCCACTGTACGAGCCAGCAGAATACGGAGGGTATCTCTGGTCGCGCGTGCGCGAAATTTTGCAGCTGCTGCGCTTCGGCGAGTCTTGGGTTCAAGAAGGGCAATTTATTTTGTCTTTAAAATCGAAAAAAAAACAATTACATTTTCGTTTTTACAATTTCAATGTTTGTTTTCAGAAGGGCAATATGTGGATGATTTGCAGGAAGTGATTTTTGGAAGATTTCTTGAGCTTTTTCATAATGTGAAAGTGCTTTGGAGTACTCGCCCATGTTACCATACGCCGTACCGATGTTGAGGTAGGAAGAAGCCAAGTCGGGATGATTTGGTGGGAGAGCTATTTTACGGATTTCAAGTGATCGTTCGTACGATGAAAGTGCTTTTGAGTACTCGCCCATGCTATTATACACCGAACCGATGTTGAGGTAGGAAGAAGCCAAGGAGGGATGATTCGGAGGGAGAGCTATTTTCTGGATTTCAAGTGATCGTTCGTATGATGAAAGTGCTTTCGAGTACTCGCCCATGTTATTATACACCAACCCGATGTTGTTGTAGGAAGTAGCCAAGTCGGGATGATTCGGAGGGAGAGCTATTTTCTTGATTTCAAGTGATCGTTCGTACGATGAAAGTGTTTTTGAGTACTCGCCCATGTTATAATATACCGAACCAATGTTGTTGTAGGAAGAAGCCAAGTCGGGATGATTCGGAGGGAGAGCTATTTTACGGATTTCAAGTGAGGGTGTGGGTGTGGGTGTGGGTGTGGGTGTGGGTGTGGGTGTGGGTGTGGGTAGGTGTGGGTGTGGGTGCGAGTAGAATCTTGCAGAAAGGTAACACTCGCACTCGCACTCGCACCCACACCCTCACCTACACCCACACCCACACCCACGCCCACACCCACCCACACTCACACACCCACACACCCACACCCAATTTTGCCAATAGAAATAGTCTATGTTGTTCGAAAAAAATTTCCGTAAAATTACTTTTTCTCTTTCTTGAGTCTCTTCCTTACGACCAATAGAAAATTGATGAAATTTCAAAATATACTTTTTTTAATAGTTAGTTTTATCTATTTAATAAAAATCTTTATTAATAAAATAATATAAAAAATAGTAGAATTTAATGTTGACAATATAAATTACAAGAAATTAAACTATATTTTATATTATTTTAAAAATCTTAATGAATTTTTTTCAGACTTTCTTGTATAATACTGTAATTGAACTCATTGTATTAACAGTCCAATTTGGATTATATTTCTCAATGAATGCTCCATTTAATCCCGACACCTTATAAAACTGTGAGCTGCCTATAATATTTAAATTGAATTCACCTGACCATTGACCGCTTATCGTACCACCAAATTGTTGTGTACAGTCAGTTGCTGAAAAGCAGAATTGTAATGCGTCAATCCAAGCGCCAGACTGTACTCTTAAAACTCTTAGTTCCTTATTGACCAAACTGAATGAACCTTTATTTCCAATTTTATATCCAAAAAAGCGAACAGTATTGTCTGTATAGGTAAATTCCAAACCATGAACGTAATTATCATAATAAACACCTATTGTTAGAAGTCTAGTGTTATTATTTACGGTGAAATCAACATTAAACTCAACTTGATTCTCATAGACTGGGCCGAATCTTTTTGTTTTAAATACATCAGCTGTAATAAGTCCATTATTTACTTCACTAAATATCTTTCCAAATTCTACCATTCTACCATTTTTGAGAATCACTAGCAAATGTATTTCCTTGTTATTGATCTTGTAGTTCATTAACTCTGTGCTTGTACTCATGTCAACATCAACCTTTTTTAATGCTGGTTCATACGTCAAATAATGTGGATATTTCGCGTCATCGCTGCTGAAAAATGCAAGCATCCTAATACCTACATTTGCATAAAGAAGAAAACTATTTGAAGATGTTGTAAATAATTGTATATTTTTATCCACCATATCAAGGATTGGATCATTTTTTAATCGAAATAAATGATGTGGTAACATTATTTCTGCATCTACTTTACTCCAACTTGCATATTGATCATCAACATTTGTTCTAAGCGAGGTCCATACATTATCTACAATGATAGTAAATCGATTAACCGAGAAAAATATTTAAAAAAAACGATTATTTTACTGGTCGATAGTTCAACTGAATAAAAGGCACGATTAAAATTGTCAAATCCTCTGTGCATAACACCATAATTGTGATCTAACAAAGATTATGTTAATCTTATGTAATAAATAAAAGTAAAATTATTCTGCTTACGTAAACCAAATGAATGACCAAGTTCGTGTAAAAATGCTCCAATTCCTACATTGCATACTCTTGCTCTATAATTACCTCCGTCGTCTGAAGTATATTTTTTATTGACGGGACGTATATCATTGAATTTATTCTTCATTTCTGTTAAATTTTGCGGATGAGAGTAAAGCAAGTGTGATCCAAATATACCCCAATTATAATCACTATTCCAACCCGAGCCTAAAGCATCGTGACCAGCAACTCTGTCTTCATTTGGTATGTAATGTGAATCAAGGAACAAGCATGTAAACTGTAATGGTAAATTTTCTGGCTTAATAAACTTTGTTGGATTGTTTAGAACAACTTTTTTACACATGCCAAATAAATCTGATTTCTTGGCTTGAATTTGTGCTGTAGTCATATCGGTTTGTAATACATGGATTTTTGGATCTAAAAGAAAATAAATTTATATTCTACAACCATTTCTGAATAGAAACTATTAGATTGCTTACAATATTCTCCATTTATAAGTTCAGTTTCGTCCAATCTAAAGCAACGATGACCAGAATTACTATTTCTCTTATAAATTTGATCATCTGTAAACGCTTGCCAAAGCCATGCCATTGTTCGATACTTCCATTTAGCTGATTCTAAATTATTTACTTCACCTGGTTCAGTATCATAAACTAATTTACTGTCATTTGCAACAACCATAACCAAGTGTACAGGTTCAACTGTTAAGTCCTCTTCGTAGACTAAATTTATTGTCAAACTACATTTCGCTCCTTGGTTTATAGTTTCCTTGAAAAAAAAATTTAATAATGAATATACTAAAAAGAAAAATATAAAAATGTAGTACATCGTAAGTGATGGTGATTTTGTTAGTTCCTTTTTCAAGCTTTATTAAACCTTTGAATTGATTAAAGATGTTGACAGGCCATTGAGTATCGATTTTATTTGCATAATTGACTGAGTTTGCATTATTCACATGGATGTTACGTATTGTGTTCTGCCAATCATTAGTAATGATCTCGCCATTAAATATTACAGTTTTATGATTGAATATTTCATTGTCTTTCATATTTGTCAACGAAATTGTGCAATATTTTGGTGTTGAATCGATCAACTGGTACGACACACTTAATATATTTAAAGTATTAACAGTCCAATCTGCAGTATATTTCTCAATATATGCTCCACTCAATGCAACAATTTTATAATTTTGGTTTATTAAATTATTTAAATTGAATTCAACGATTTCACCACCTCCGATACTGCCAAAATGTTGTGTACAATCAGTTGCTGAAAAACAAAATTGTATTGCATCGATCCAAGCACCGGATTTTACTCTAAAAATTCTTATCTCTTTGTTTACTAAGCTAACTGTGCTTTTAGTTCCTAATTTGTATCCAACAGAATTTACAGTATTATCTGTATATGTGAATTCCAAACCATGAACATATTGATCATAATAAACACTTATTGATTGAAGTCTTGCATTTTTAGTGTTTGTGAAATCGATATTAAAAGGAACTTGATTCGGTTGAACTGAACCAAAGTTTTGTGATTTCAATATTTGTGCTGCTGATGCACTATTTACTATTGCTATGAAGGTGCACAGATAAAGAGCATATGGGCAGCGCATAGTTGTTTTTATCTAAAATATATAATGTATTTATTATATATAACTGTAAAACAAATATATACTATTTATCGGTCAGTTATATAAGTACATTTTGTTTTTATGTTCTGAATACAGAGTATCGCGTTCTATTAAGAGCGCATTATAATTTTATTATATAATTTTGCCTAATGAATGCAAACTGGGTAAGAAAAAGCGTTTTTATCCTAAATAAAAAGTCTTGAGTAATTCTTTACAAATATTTACTTTCAATTATAATTAATTACATTTCTTCTTTTGGCTAACAGAAAATGAACTCTCAAAAGCAAAATTTATATTATTTATAAATAATGAAGTACGTGGGTTTTTAATTATATTTTGCATCCAGTTCTGCGCAGAAATGTGAGCCATAAGATTAGATAACATTAATTATATTTCGGTAAAGCTGATATCTAGTAAATGATATATTTCCTCGACTGAAGGAAGGGTCATACGAAATAAAATGCGTTTGTTTGTTTGTTTTGTTTGCTTGTCGTCGGGTCAAAGATCAAAGGTCAAAAAAACATTCACAGGAAACTCATGATAAAAGAAAACCACATCAACAGACAAAGCTTGATCAAAGGTAATCGGGGTCGGAGAATCGAATGGTACCATTAGTTTTGAAAAATTTTGAACTGATTTTTTTTCGCAAAAGAAGGGCTTTTTACAAAAAAATTTTTTAATTTTTTTTTATAAAGTTTGATCAATGGTAATCGAGGTCGGGGAATGGATTGGTGCTACTTAATTTTAAATTAATGTAAATGGTTCATTCCTGGTGACAAAAAATGATTAGATCAAACTCAGTCGAGGGTTAAGCGAGTTCTAGCGACGAGCGTTACTTGTTTTTACAAAACTGCATTGGGATCAGAGATGGAACCGGTGTGAGTTTTTTATGAGCGGTACCGGTACCGCCCAGTCGAACATGATTGTAAAAAACATGCATGTAAATGCGCGATAATGAGTCCATGTCCACGCATGTGTTAGTATAACCTTGCATGCGTGTGAACGCGTCACAGGGTGAACTATATTCGCGTGTTCACGCAAAACTGTCGAATTCTTACATGCGAGTTTCCGCCAGTATAACTTTTGCATGATCACGCATGTTCAGCAAAAAAAATATTTAAAAACGAATGATATCATGTATACGGTGCGCTGCCATTTACACGCATGAAATACTTATTCTGCACCCATGTACACGCATGTGATATATGAAGATAATACTTACAAACGGATTCGAACTTGACTTATTGTCTTGAGAGACGCACATTCTTACCATTCGACCACTTATCGATATTCATTAGTATTGAGAAAATAATGTCACTTATTCGTGATAAGATACGCAAATTCACGCGAGTATAAGATTCTTGCACATCCGAAGACTTAAGTGCAGTTTTCCGTGAACATGTAAAGAAATATGTTAGGTCTTCCTGTCAGGCATGCGTTGTTATAGTAGCATTTTATCATAATCTTATCGATTGACAAGCAAAACTATGCTTATTATTATTTTTAACCTGGAACGTAACGTTAATGTATTCATATTCTAATGTTTTTTTCGATTATTGCGTGCTAAACAGATTTTTATTGCTTGGTTGGCATATGATTTGAATGGCAAATCAGCTTATGCTTATAAATTTAACAACTCTAGTAGGTTTTTCCTTTTTCTTATCTTTTGTGGTCGTTGCAGTATGACTTAACAATTTATTTTCAATTCACTAATGCAGCTAAAATAAAGAATATTGTGATTACATGAGGTGCATTTAAGACTAAATACATGTTACTCAGAAAATACAATATATGTACCTTTATGAAAAGATATTAGGAAAATGATACAAACTCGTACTTCATGAACCTTTTAAATTACACATCTTTTCCTAAGTTTCCGAGCATAAAAACTGAAGAACGATTTTTGTCCCGTATGGCATATGCTCATATGTGTCTGAAGTTAAAATTTTTCGTGTACCTTTATACAAACTTTGAAAATACTACACCTACAATGCATGTACATGCAGGTAAAACTGTTACGTTTATATGAAAATCATATTTCTTGCATAAATTTGCAAGAATATAGCTCGCGAGCAAATGCAAGCACAAAAATCTGCATGTTTTTGCATGTTTTATTAAAAAGCCTATAAACATGTGTTCGCACGCATGTGATTCTACCACGCGTATATGTGCAAGTGCCATTGCCTTGCGTTTATACACAAGATTCGAATATTTTAAAACAGACATGCGTGTTTCAGCGCAAAACTCGAGCAGATTAAAAATACCCTGCAAGCGCACGCAAGATTCTTGAATTTCCTTGCGTAACAACGCGTGTTTTCGAAATTGACGTTCGACTGAGCTGATCCACGACCGAATACGTACCTGATGGCTTACTTCGAATAAATGGTGCAATTCGAGCACTTCAATATCCATTTCTCATCTCATTGTCCATTTGAAGTTAATCACCCATCAAGACTCACAAAATAACTCTTCCTCAGTGGTTAGAACAAAAATAAAGCAGTCAGTAGAAGTGTCGCTCGTACATACCGTTGAAATACTATTAAAAGTCCTTCGTGCGTGCTGGTTTTTATCTACCAAGCACAGGTGATACTTTAAGCCGTGCTACTTGAAAGTCAGCGAAAGCAAAAAGTGAATCTTTTCACTGATTGAAATTTGATTCTATTTGTAATCCTAGTGAATACGAGTCCCTTTGCACGATACGGTATCTATTCCGCGAAAAACAGTTAAGCGAATCACTTTTTCAGTGAAAAAAAATATACCAAATACAAAACATCAACAGTTACTCACCCTCCAGAGCCCGAAAACGAACCGAACTCGAACCGCCTTTTTGAAAATACAGTCTAACCGAACCGAACTCGAACCGTCTTTTGAAAAATGATATCGAATCGAACCGACCTAATATTCGTTGAATCGTCATAAAGGAAGTGGCGCTTTTTCCATGGTCTATACCCCCGCTCGATTTCTTTCCTTTTAATTATTTTTTTATTGAGACTGATGTGAGAACACAAGATCACGAAATCATTCGGTGGACATATTTAGTTTCAACGAAAAAATCAATATTTCAAGAAAGAGTGAATTTCTATAGAAAATACTACAAAAACAGTTAATATTTTGAGGTTTCAGCCACTCAAAATTGCTTTTGGTGGATGATAAATATGATATTCAGAATCAGCGTGCCAAAATCCATCAAAAACTTTATTTTTTAGTGTGAAATATTTCCATCAAAATTTTTCCCCTACTCCTCCTCAGCTTTTTTTACTCGATAATTTTTACCTGTACCCCTCTACGGGACCAAATTTTGACGGAAAATATTTCGCGATGAAAACTAAAGTTTTTGGTGTATTTCTACATGCTAATTCTGAATATGATATTTATTTCTCATAAAAACCAACTTTTGACAAGCAAAATCTTGATAAACTAGCTGTTTTCTGATATACTTTTTCTCATAAACTCTGTCTCTTCAGACGTTCGAATCCCACCAATAAAGATTAACATATTTTTTTTGCTTTTCTTTTGTTATTTGATAGACTATATAAAGCTACATTTGTGGTAAAAATTCCACTTTTTAGTTGAGAGTCTTTGTGAAGTTATAGATTAAACAATGTCGGTCATGCATTGAAAAAGAAGTGTTAAAAAGAGAATTTTTTATGATAGGCAGTAGCCGTCAGTGTAGTGATTAAATAAAATGATTTTAATTTTATTTTAGAGAGAACCTGTAGTTGTATATATAGTAAAAATTTGGTTATTATTCATGCAACTATAGATGAGATATAGACCTTGACATAATAAGGGAGTAGAGATCAGTTGATAATGATTCTTCTCCTAAAATATCGATATTTTTTGCTAAAACTAAAAATGTCCACGGAATGATTCTGTGTTCTTGTATCCTCACATGAGTCCCAACTAAAAAATATTTAAAAGAAAAAAAAACTAGCGGGGGGGGGGGGGGGTATATCGACGAGTTCCTTTCCTGAAAATTTTGTTGAAAATGATCGAGTGACCTTTGACCGATTATATTATATGATTAATTTTATTTCTACACCTCGTTTCGTTCTCGCTTCATAATTATATATAATACAATTATGATGATTGGTCTACTATACAATAGGAGAATATATAAGGAGATTATTTAATTTATTCCCTCTTTTCGG